TAAAAATGTATATAAGAATAATATCAGACCTCTTACTCCCAAGCATGAGATAAAATATGCGTCTCTCTGATATTGCTAGCCTTGCCAATTTTTTATTCTGAATGAGGTCATATTTATTTTGAAGCTAAGATTATAATGACTTAGAGATATTCCCTGCCTAAATGAAAAATGAACCTCTCTCAAAGATCATGTCAATTACTTTTCAAGAGTCTAGAACAGGGACTTACCAGCTGATGTCATTCTGGCTTTCACTGTCTGTTTTCACATGTCTGCTGCCACACACTGTCAGGCTGACCCGTCCCTGCTGGGACAGGGAGTCCCAGCCCCTCTTTCTACAGAAGAAGGTGACTGTGAAAAGGTTTTGTCAGGTGCCCAGTTCACAGACGCCCATGAAGCTGCGGCCTGGAGCTGAAGCAGAGCTGGCTGCATCCTGAGGCAGGAATGTGTCCTTAACAGCCAGACTGGAGGACAGAGACACCCGGCCTGCAGCAGCGCCTCAGGGGTCGCCCAGGCTCTGCAGTCTCCAGAAAGGACACTTTGAGTCCTCCTTCCCTTTCCACAGGGACCCACCTGGTTCAAAGAGCTTGTGGAGCGGTGGCACGCTGTGATCCCTTCCAGCCGTTTGTCATCCGTCTCTCATCCTTTGTGTCAAACAACATGTCTGAAAGGTTCGCAGTTTCCAGACAGCAAAGGCATGGCTGGAGACAGACCCTGCTGAGGACTGTAAGGTGGGTGGGAATAGCTCCTGAGGCCCATTCAGCTACACTGACTGAGAGGCCTGTTTATATGTGGATGCACTCATTTATTAATTATTTCATCCAAGCAGCTTATTAAATGAGACTTGTAGAGTGGAATCAAGAAATAATATTGTTTCTCTCATCAATGTTTTCAGGCTGATGTTTTCAGGTAGCTCCTTCTTCTGACCAGCACTACAGAAGAAGCTTTTTCTTTTCTGGGTTGTATTATTTCATATCAAATAGTTCTGTACAATCACTTCTAGAACTTGGTGAAAACCTAGTTGAAAACCTCCCACGTCTCTACCCTTGTTCCATCCTAGAACCCTGTAATAGAGACAGGACTGATGGTCTATCCTAGAACTGTGCAGTGGAGACAGGATTATTGATTCATCCTCCACCTCCTCTATCTAGACTCCTGCCTCTTCTGCCCCTTCCCTCTCCCCGCTCTGTGTTTGGATGAGTACATGTAACCATGCAGGTACACATATGCATGCATGCGTGTGTGTGTGTGTGTGTGTGTGTGTGTGTGTGTGTGTATCTATGTGTGTCTGTGTGTTTGTCTCTGTGTGTGTCTATGTCTGTGTGTCTATGTCTGTGTATGTCTGTGTGTCTGAGTGTCTGTGAAGGCCAAAGGTCAGTTTCAGATGCCATTCCTTGGACTGTGTCCACTTCACGCTTTTAGACAGTTTCTGGCCGAGAGATCACCAACTTGGCTAGGCTGGTTGCCCTCCGATCTCTAAGGACCTGCTGTGTCTGTCACCCTGTGTTGGGATCATAAGTGCTCACCACTATGCCTGACTTTTTTTTTCACGGTTTCTTGGGATCAAACTCAGGTTCTCATGTTTGCACATCCATCACTTACTAACTGGACCATCTGGCTAGCCCTCTAGGTTTTCTGTATTCTCCTTTACTGACAGGGTTAAATGTTAAAAAATAAAAGAGAGTTTTGTTTCTTCTTATAATGAACCTTTAAAAGCACATTTTGTTTTACAATGATTTTAGATACTCAGAAATTACCCAGGTAGTAAAAAACACAACCCAAACCAAGATAACAACAAATCTAAACTTCATACCCAGTTGACACGTAACATTAATTAGTATAACAGTCCTGTCAGAACTGATGAACCAATAATCACACATTATTATAAGACTTGACTGAGAAATACTGGGACTCTCCAGGCTTCTCCAGCAGCCTCTTCACCCAGGCATAGATCTCTCCAAGCTCCTCTTGCAAATGACACTTTCTCAGATTTTCCTGGGTCTTGAGAATGACTGTAAGGCACTACAGGTCAGCTATGTTATAGAAGGCTCCTCAGTTGGGATTTGTCTATGTTTTTCTCATGATCAAATTGGTATGGGAGAGGAAGTCCACAAGGTGAGGTGTCATTCCCTGTGCTTCACATGAGGTCACCATGATTTCTCACTTTTCGTATTGACCTTGATCTTGTGGATGAGGCTTTTTTTTTTATCTTTTTCTTGTATTGAAAATACATTTTTTCTCACATAATATATCCTGATTATGGTTTCCCCTTCCTCTACTCCTCCCAGTTCCTTCCTACCTCCCCATCTGGATCCACTCCTTTTCTGCCTGTAGTTAGAAAACAAACAAGCTTCTAAGGGAATATAGTATAGTATAGTATAGTATAGTATAGTATAGTATAGTATAGTATAGTATAGTATAACATAACATAACATAACATAACATAACAATATAATATATAATGAGAGAAAGCAAAAACTAACACATCAGAGTTTGACAAAGCAAACAGAAGGAAAAGAACCCAAGAGAAGAACCCAGAAGAAGAGACCCACTCGTTCACACACTCAGGAGTCCCACAAAAACACTAAACTGGAAGCCATAATATATACACAGAAGACCTGGTGCAGACCCGTGCAGGCCCTGTTCGTGCTGCCTCAGTCTCTGAGTTCATATGAACTTTGTTCATGCTGATTTTGAGAACCTTGTTTTCTTGGTGTAAGCCATCCCCTCCAATTCTTACACTCTTTCTGCCTCCTCTTCCATGGGGTTCCTTGAGCCCTGTGAGGAGGTCAGGGGTGACTTTATGGACACAGTAGACAAGTCTCTTTAAAAGGTTTCTCTACCATAAAGCCTCTTCTCTCTCCCCTTTCCCCTCTTCCACGCTGCACTTGTAGAAGGAGGTCAGTGTGCACAGACCACACTTCAGGAGAGAAGTAATGCTCTCCTGCTAGAGAACATAGTATCCACACAGATCATCTAGAACTCTTTTCTATGGGGGTTTATCTGTTTTCCCATTTGCTTACTGAATAGTTTATTTGTATTTATATGGATGTACAGGCATTTGCTTTAAATTCTGATAGTCCAGTGCGATTTTATTTTCTCACATGAATGTTCCTACTTGGACCACTCAGAGTTCATTCAGTCATCTCCTCTGTCCCTTAGGTCTGCCACAGCCTTGTGTGTGTGGTGTGTGAGTTACACCCAAAGCACACCAGTGTTGCTGTATGCTGATTTTCTTGCTTTCTGGAGGCATGTTTCAGAATCTCCTTGTCTATTGACTGTCCCAAAGCAACACTCAGTCTTGGTTCCTTTTATAGAAGAATAACTAATATCTGATCTCTTGTTTTTGCCCTCCTCCCTCCACAGGCTCTCTGTGATCCATCCTCAGCTGTGTGGCTAATGTCTTGGGGGATATTCTTTTGGGTTGGTGAAGTGATTCATACAGGAAACTTACTACTGCACATCCCTAGCACATCAAAGTGCCCCAAGTTTAGCACCTTCAACTCCTGCTAACGATTGATCTTGGTGTAGCAGGCAACACCAGCTCTTCCTGTATAACTAGCTCAACCAGGGATGTGCACCTCTTGGCTGGGGCCTTTCCAAAGCCATTTTAGCCACCAGTCAAAGCAGCCATAGACAAATTCATCTTTTCTTGTTTGAGTACTGGACAGAGTCTAATGTGGGCCCTTTTCTAATTTTACTGTCAAAAGAAATTCTAGAAGGCTTCTTTCTGTTAGATGTTATGAGGTGTAAAGGAAACCACCCCAGCCATTTCAGAGGCCTATATGAAACTTCTAGTTTTTAAATCGAAGTCTGTTTTCTGTGGCTTTAGTTGGGAAGTAAGGGTACAGGTCACAGAAAGAACAACTAGCTACCTTCAATGAAACCTACACTGAGAAGCTCTCCATGGACTCTTGGTCTAGCACAGAACCTGGAAAGATGGAAGGGGGAAACAGAACCTGTCTGCAACTCTCATGAAGCCTTATGAAAATGAATAATAATTCCTTTCCAGTCTGACAGATTCTTGTCTTCCCTGTTATTGCAAAACATATTGAAAACAGGTCAAATGTCACCTTTCAATACTGTGTTTTATTAACAAGAACTTTTGATACGAAGGATCTGAGTTAGGGGCTAACACCTACACTAGTCGGCGTGAGGATTAACTGTGCAAAAGACACGTTGGGATCCCAGAGCTTGTAAAGTGCTGCAGTATTCCAAGAAATTGAAGCACTTTTTCCTCAGTGAAGAGGCAACATGAGATCGACAGAGTGTGTAGATGAAGAAGTATTCTGAAAAGTGACATTCAGACCGAGCCACCGAGGATGTGTTATCATCGGTCAGCAGAGGTACTTGAAGGTTCTGAGTAAAGAAAGACTGTAAAGAAAAGCTGGGAAATCCGGAGGAGAAGGGCTGTTGTAAGGCTCTGGGTGTGAGGTGTGGTGGGCAGACAGGCTGTGACAAAGGTACAGTGGGAACGAGAACAGAGAGATCATCAGGCCCCGAAGCCTAGTTTCAAAGTGAGAGGGTTTTGACGGTAATCGTAGGAGAAATGGCAAGTAATTTGTGGACATTTGTACTGAATGGGAGAACTCTTCCACCACCATGCATTCACTCGTTTTCTAGACAAAACAAATGGTTATTATGCAACTGGGAGTTGATAATAAGGAGAAAGGAGTGAAAGGGTCATATGATCTGTCATCTATTCATGGGGGTGCACACATGCATGTGTGGGTGTGCATACAACAAAGGAGGACACCAGGATCACCTCTACCTTTCTCCTTTGCCACAATGTCTGGGTGAACCTCTAGGCTGGCAGCCTGCGAGTCTACCAACTCCTCCCTTCTCTGCCTCCAACAGCATGGGTTTACAGGTGGCCACGCATAGCTGTTTACACAGGTGCTGGGCTCTGAACTCAAGTCCTCAAGCTTTGCAGCAAGTGCTCTTACCTGAGTCGTTTCTCCCTCGGTCTTACTTCATGCATGACTGACTTTCCCAAAACTCACCGTTTTTTTGCTGTTTGCTTCAAGTGGACAGCACCAGTGTTTATCCCAGTCAGAGCACAGGGATTCCACAGGTGGACAGCGGTGGTGTTGGTCTCAATCAGAGCTTGGTGATTCCTCAAGTGGACAGTGGTGGTGTTGGTCTCCGTCAGAGCTCGGTGATTTCACAGGTGTGCAGCGGTAGTGTTGGTCTCAATCAGAGCTCAGTGATTTTCTTAAATTATGCTGGAAAAGTTGAAAGTCACTTAGAAACAGAGTTTTACTATTAGATCATTCATAAGCCTATTAAAGACATTTAATAAATAGCTGACAACCTCCTCAAATGAAAATACCCCATCCTGATAACTTCACTGTTTTCTGTTATCAAATATTTAAAGGATAAATGATACAGTCTTTAACAATCCTGTGGTGATATTGTGTTCCCCAAAATATTGTGCACCCTAATAAACTTATCTGGGGTCAGAGAACAGAACAGTCACAAGATATAGAGGCCAGAAAATGGTGGCACACACGCCTTTAATCCTAGCATTCCAGAGGCAGAGATCCGTCTGGATCTCTGTAAGTTCAAAGCCACACTGGAAACAGTCAGACGCGGTAACAAGAGTCTTTAATCACAGGAAGTGATGGCAGGAAGCAGAAAGATATTTAAGGCGTGAGAACAAGGAACTAAGCCTGGTTAAGCTTTTAGGCTTTTAAGCAGCAGTTCAGTTGAGATCCATTCTGAATGAGGACTCAGAAGCTTCCAGTCTGAGGAAACAGGATCAGCTGAGGAACTGTTGAGGTGAGGAAGCTGTGGCTTGTTCTGCTTCTCTGATCTTCCAGCATTCACCCCAATACCTGGCTCCAGGTATGTTTTTATTAATAAGAACTTTTAAGATTCATACTACACAATCCCTTCTGAAAAATAGAAACAAAAGGACCGCCTCCTTATTGTATTAGAATAGCATTATTTTAATACAAAAACTAGATAAAAAACATTAAAAAGATAAGTCATAAGCTAGTAACTCTTATGAATAGATGTGTAAAAATCCTCAACAAAAAAGGAAGTCAATCATACTCAACTATGCACAGAAGAAATTATAGCCTGAGGGCAAGTGAGATTCATTCCAGTTGTTCACATCTGGTTCAACACTTGGAAATCAATGTCACCTGTCATATCAACACAGTCTAAGCCACAAAGAAATTTTATCAACTGATGTGAGTCCACCAACCAAAAGAGACAGCACTCTGATGAAATCCAATAGGTGCACTCAACAAAAACTCATGGTAAAATTGGAATACAGAAGGACTTTGCTGACTTACCCTCAAATGACCTTCAACTGACATATTGTGATTAAAGGTAAGAAAATGGGCACTGTTCCTTTAAGATAAGAACAAAGAGAAGAATGTCCTCTCTTACAACTCTAACTCAACTTTATCCTGGAAGTTCTTGTCTTAAGATAGGAGGAGCAGAGTGTGTGTGTGTGTGTGTGTGTGTGTGTGTGTGTGTGTGTGTGTGTATGTATATGTATATATGATGGAATTTGCTAATTTATTGTTGTTATTTAAGTTTAAAATATTTATATTTAGAAAATACCGAAGTGTCAAAAATGGCACCCGAAATGTTAGAAGAAAATAAGGAATTCCATCAGGGTCAAAGGATACAAGCTCCTGGACAATAACCAATCGCTTTGCTACACACAAGTCACTCACAATTAAATTTCTGGTTAAAAACAAATACAGTTATACTAGAACAAAACAAAATATGTATGAAATATTTACAGGCTTGACATGCATCAGTCTGTAAATACTCAGTGAAATAAATTATCAGACTTAAATAAATAGAGATACTTCATGTTCGCGAACTGAAAGGCTGTCGAGATTTTAATTCTTCCCAAATACATTTATATACTTAACAAAATTTCATAAAAATCTCAATACTCTATGTGGTAGATAGCAACAAACTGATTCAAATGTTTCTGAGTAATGGCTAAAGTTTATGTAGAATAATCAATACAGTAATACTGGAAAATAGGAGCAGAATTAAAAGCTCATTAGAAATGGAATTTTACTATCTGAATACTCATATATCTGTGAAAGGCACTAAATAAATAGTTAGCAACCTTCTAACTCAGGTTAGACTCAGTACAAAACTACAGAGTACTAGTCATAATTCAGCTGCTGAGAGAATGAGAATTTGCTGTATTTAAAAATTTGTCACTGAATTCATGAAACAGTTTTTCCTGTTTTCTGTTGAAACACTTATAGTTTTGCATTTCACATTCAGGTTTGCTATGATTTGTGTTTAGGTATTAGACTGTGTCTAATATTTAATACAAGAAGCACTCCGTTTGCCTCATAGCTTCAGAAGTTGGAGTTGATGGCCAGTTGTCCTGGCTGCTTTAGACTCAAGTGGGGCTAAACATCATGGTAGTGGAAGCATGCAACACAAGAGGCTGCTCACCTCCTGCGGGTCAGGAAGCAGATAACTAGAGCAGAGGGTGAACTGCTGCACACAGGCTTCCTCCTCCTCCTCCGTATTCTACACTGATCAAAAGCCTATCAGATACTGTGGATCACATTCAGGGCAGCCCTTCTTCTCCATTATTCTCCCAGGATGTCAGTCTTACCTGGAAACTCCTCAAACACCCTTCTAGAAACTCATAGGGGTTTTACAATATAATTCCATTGACAATTATAAATCAAGATCAACAATAGCATAGAGCAATTAATAATACTTAATGACAAAGGACTAGTAAAGAAGGTGAATATAACTGAGCAGAGTGCCCAAAAAAAGAATCCCATAAACACAGCTGACTCCTCTTAGACAAAGAAACAAAGACAATTCAGTAGAGAAGGCATAGTCTTTTCAACAATGTGCCAGAACACACACACCTCCATACACACAAAAATGAACCTGGGTAGAGCCTTACACCTCTGGCAAACCTAAATGCAAACCTGAACAGAGAAACCAAGCTCAAGAAGCTTCACAAGAAATCACGGTTAAAGGCCTCAGTGACCTTGGTGATGGGTGTGGAAACACACCAGCACCAGTACAATCTGTGAGAGAAAATTTGAGAACTGGACTTTGCTAAATTCAAACTTCTCTCTGTAAAGAACTTAAAAACATAAGTTACAGGAAAAGAGAAAAAACTTTCTAATTTATATCCAGAACATAAAAGAGCTCTCTTTAAAAGTAAGCATAAGAAAAAAAAAACTTCAGAGCTGGGCGGTGGTGGTGCATGCCTTTAATCCCAGCACTCAGGAGGCAGAGCCAGGTGGATCTCTGTGAGTTCCAGGCCAACCTGGTCTACAGAGCAAGATCCAGAACAGGCACCAAAACTACATGGAGAAATCCTTTCTTGAAAAAAAAAACAAACAAAAAGAAAAGAAGAAGAAGAAAATTTCAGAATTAAAAATAGACTAAATATCTGCACAGATACCTCATTGAACAAGAGAAACTGCTGATAAATTGTATACAAAAAGATAAGCAGCTGGGCGGTGGTGGCGCACGCCTTTAATCCCAGCACTCGGGAGGCAGAGCCAGGCGGATCTCTGTGAGTTCAAGGCCAGCCTGGGCTACCAAGTGAGTCCCAGGAAAGGCGCAAAGCTACACAGAGAAACCCTGTCTCGAAAAACAAAAAAAACAAAAAAAAAAAAAAAAAGATAAGCAAAATAAATTTTCATTAGGGAATACAACTCACAGAAAAATAAAATATTACTGCATGCCAGCGCGATGGTTAAAATCTAATGATAACATGATCACAATAACAACTGCAGTAAAGATACAGGCCAACAGGACCACTAATTCCTTGCTGCTGAGAGTGTAAGATGAACCACAGCTCTGCAGGACAAGTTGACAGTTTGCTCCATGGCTCAAGATAACTTTATCATACAACCTAGCAAGCACTTACCATGATGTGAAAAGTTGTGTTTACCTTGAAACTGACTAAATGGTTGTTGTACTATGCATAATCACCTACACCAGAATAAATTAAAGTGTATTTCAATAGAATAAGCTAGTGCATTTGTAATACAAAATAAAACATTGCTCAGCAATATGAAAAGGTATTAAGTATTGGATAGATCAGGAGAACTACTGCCAGTTGAAAGAGGCCTATCTGAAAAAAGTACATATGACATTCAGGAGAAGATAAAATTGTACAGATAGTCAAAACTAGAAGCTCTGGAGACAAGAGTGGAAGACTGACCAGGTGGAGCATGGGTGTTCTTTCAGAGTAGTGAAACTATTTTGTACAGTATTATCATAACGGACATACTATACTATGTCTTTCTCAAAATCCACAGTAATTCACAATGCAGGCACAGTCTGCAGACTTGTCAAATCAGTTAGCACACTGAGAAGTCTCAAGACTAATGCAGAATATAAAAACAAGTCTAGTTGTCCTGTAAATGTGATAAAAGACTGGACCAAAGGCCAGAAGAGCTGGACATCAACACTGGGTTCCAGCGGACAGAGAGTGACCCCCATGGGCATTCAGGTTCACAATTCTGACACTGCTACCCATGGAAGCTAGCACTTCACAGGAGATGGTGGAAACCAGGTATCTCACTGTTCAAGCGAAAACTCACAGATTAGCCAATTGGAGCAGGCTAAAATGGATGTCTGATAATGGATTAGAGTTGGATTAATAGTATAAAATCACATCAGCTAGCTAGCTACTAGAAAGTAAACAAATATGTATATATATATGTTTATATATATATATATACATATGTGTGTGATTGGCATAGTAAGTGATAGATAAGTGACATATGAACATGTTTACTGATATGAATATACACATAGACACATATAAAAACATACATTCCCTTGCTATGTCTACGACAGTGCCCATCACCACTGACATTTACGTAGCACGAAGCCCAGGCAGTGCCGGTTTCTGTTTTTTAACACTCTCTTTCTCCAAGACAAGGAATGGGGTTCTTTTGAGACAAGGGTGATTTTCCAGCTGAGAACAGGAACATGAGAACTTGGATGTGTCAGAAACACAGAAAGTGACCTTCAAAGAGTGACCATGAGAATGCTGTTGTGGAATTTTAGTTTAAGATGTGTTACTTTCATTTCTGCTGTGGAATATTCACTTAATGATGCAGAGATGTGTTGCGTTCTTTTATGTTGCATTCATTTAACTCTGTGAAGCTGTGTTATTTTGCCTGTCTAAAACACCTGATTGGTCTAATAAAGAAATGTGCAGCCAATAGCCAGGCAGGAGAGAGAAACA